GATAACATTTGTCTGAGCTAGTTTGGTATGTGCAAGAAACTTTTTCTTTAGACAGGGTTTAACACTGTAGTCTATGCTGAGTTTAAACTCAAAGCAACCATCTGCTTCAGTCTCTTGACTATTGGGAATAGATACAAGCCACCATCCCAGCTATAAGGAACTTAAAGGATGTTAATGGTATTTATTTTTATTTTTTGGTTTTTTTGAGACAGGGTTTCTCTGTGTAGCTTTGGAGCCTATCCTGGAACTTTCTCTGTAGACCAGGCTGGCCTCAATACTCACAGAGATCTGCCTAACTCTGCTTCTGAGTGCTGGGATTAAAGGCGTGCTTCACTACCGCCTAACTCGGCATTTTTTATTTATTTATTTATTTATTTATTGATTGATTGATTGATTGATTGATTGATTGGTTTTTTGAGACAGGGTTTTTCTGTGTAGCTTTGCATCTTTCCTGAAACTCACTCTGTAGCCCAGGCTGGCCTTGAACTCATAGAGATCTGCCTGGCTCTGCCTCCCAAGTGCTGGGATTACAGGCGTGTGCCACCACCGCCTGACTTGATATTTATTTTTAAATAGGCAACATGATTTACAAGGACTGGGTGACCCCTGCCTCTGTCTAGTTCCCCAGTTCTTACCACTTAGTATTCCTGTGATAAAAAAGGTTCATTAACCTGGAGAGGCAGTTGCACTCAGCCACAGCCAAGGAGGAGCTCTTACAGCTTGGAAAAACCTTTTGCTTTCCTCTGACATAAATGATCCTTTAGGAGAATTTCTTCCCTGATCTCTGTCACACCTGAATTGTCTGTCCTACACCTTCAGAGTTTGCTGTAGTTCTCCTCACTAACCTATCTTTATTCTTCAAAGATTGGTGACTGACCAGCTAAGTCCCTGTTAGTAGCCAGCAATATCAAAATAAGGCCATGTGCAAAACTTAACAGGAAGGAGTTATCATTGCTTAGGTTCCCTCTCACTCCTTCATACTAGCTTTGTCTCCACTTTGTATCCAGATACTGTGGTCTGTTTTGAGGTCAGACACCCTGCCTTGCTTCTTAAGCCTCATCACTATCTTAAACCAGCTAGAAAAAGAATGACCAAGAAGGGCTGAGATGGTTATAGTCTTACTCTGACCTGGTTATAGAGTTAGCCAGAGTAAGGGCCATGCAGGCAGTTCAGAGCCACTTCAAATCGTCCTGCTCTCCTTGCTGGCTCTGCTGACTCTTCCCACCTTGTTTTTTTATTAATTTCCTAGGCTTTGAAGACAAAATATCTAAACTCTTATTTTAAGAGTTTATTCAGTAATTTAA